CATTCTTAATAAACCTTATGACGTCCTCTCCCAGTTTCGTAAAGACGAAGCACATATGACGATGTCTGACTTCGTAGATGACTCGACTTTGCGTTTGGCGGGTCGTCTCGATATGGACTCTGAAGGTTTAGTTTTTTTAACTGATCATGGTGGTTTAAATCAATACATTACCAACCCTGCCAATAAGAAATTTAAAACTTATTTGGTGCAAGTTGATGGTAATGTAACTGAAGAAGCCCTAGAACAGTTGCGTAAAGGTGTTGAGCTAAAAGATGGTATGACTTTACCTGCGCAAGCGAATAAAGTTGAACAACCTGAATGGTTATGGGATCGTGATCCACCTGTACGTTTCCGTGCCAATATTCCAACATCTTGGATTGAAATTTCTATTTGTGAAGGTCGTAACCGTCAAGTCCGTCGTATGACTTCGGCTGTTGGTTTTCCAACTTTACGTTTGATTCGCACCAAGATTGGTGCAATTGATTTGGTGCAAATGGGTTTACAACCTGGTGAAACCAAAGAAATTGAACCATTACTTTATCCAGACTTTCAAAATATTCCAGCAGACGAACCTTATCGCTCACGCTCTTATGTGAAGAAACCTGGCGGTACAGGTGGAAAACCAATTGTTCGTAAGAATAAAGATGGTTCAACAAAGAAATCTGGAACTAAACGTATCTGGCAAATGGAAGATGGTGAAAAACCACGTCGTAAGACCAATGGTACCACCCGCCCAAATACCAAAGCACCACGTGGTCGTGGACGTAATGGTCGCTAGGATTAGATTCTACTTAAGCCCACACCAGTGGGCTTTTTAATTTTGCCAAATAATATATACATTATTGTTTAACAATAAAAACTTTTTCAACTTCCCAAGAATCTATAATAAAATTTATCTCAACTTCATAATATTCTCTAATCTCATAATTAAATTTATTATTGTAAATAAGAGTCATAGAAATCGTTAAAGAACTCGAATCTCTCGACATATAAATCAAATCAGGTTTAAGATCAATTGATTCTTGGACTAACCCATCTACTAATATTTTACTACTTAAAAGGAAAATAGTACCTCTCACCTCAATCTTTACATCTAATGCTTCTCCAACTCCCTTATTATAAATTTTAGGTGTTATTCTACATAAGTCCCCCCACTCAGAACCTGAATATATTTCACAATCGCATGCATCAATCAACAAATTTGGCTTAGAAGCAGAATTCATTGCATCAAAATGTAGTTGTTGAATTCCTGCTAATTTAGCTTGCTGTTCAACACTTTCTTTCATTTCATTAATCTGAAGTTGTAGTGCTCTTTCTTGCTGCTGTAAAGCCTTAGTATTTTGGTCTAACTGCTTACCTTGTTGCATGTATCCCAAAATCAACCAAAAGAAAGCAATTGGTGCAAAAACACCCGCTAAAAAATCACCTAATTCATTTAAAGATTTTGGTTGCTCCATTCCAGCAAAAAGAAAAATACACGTAATAAATCCAATCCAAATTACTGTAATAGCCACACCCAAAAATAAACTTTTCTTATTCATTTATGCACAAGTAATAATTTCTAAATTTAAGTTTTACATAAAATTAACCATATTTACAAGTTATGCAAAAGCTAAAATAAAATCCTCTTACATGAAATTTAATGTATAAAAAAGCCGATGCGTATGCATCGGCTTTTCTCACCAACAAGATCGTTGGTTTATAGCATTTTAAAACTTAAACAGTAGCAAGTGTAGCGTTAAGCGTCGCACTTGGACGCATTACAGCTTCAACCTTAGCGGTATCAACTGCATAGTAACCACCAATATCCGCTGGCTTACCTTGAACAGCTGCAAGCTCAGCAAGGATTTTGTCTTCGTTCTCATCCAATGCTTTTGCAAGTGGTGCAAACTTGGCTTTTAATTCAGCATCGTCATTTTGTGCAGCAAGTGCTTCAGCCCAGAACTTCGCAAGGTAGAAATGGCTACCACGGTTGTCAAGCTCACCTGTACGGCGTGATGGTGACTTGTCGTTATCCAACAATTGACCAGTTGCTTGATCCAATGTTTTCGCCAATAACTTAGCACGCGCATTGTCTTCTTTAATACCTAGCTCTTCTAAAGAAACAGCCAAGGCCAAGAATTCACCAAGAGAGTCCCAACGCAAGTGGTTTTCTTCTACAAGCTGTTGTACGTGTTTAGGTGCTGAACCACCCGCACCTGTTTCGTACATACCACCACCCGCCATTAACGGAACGATAGACAACATTTTCGCAGAAGTACCCAATTCCATGATTGGGAACAAGTCAGTTAAGTAATCACGTAAAATGTTACCAGTCACTGAAATTGTATCTAAACCACGAGCAACACGTTCAAGCGTATAACGCATTGCACGTACTTGTGACATGATTTGGATATCAAGACCCGCTGTATCATGATCTTTCAAGTATTTTTGTACTTTCTTAATCAATTCATTTTCATGTGGACGGTATGGGTCAAGCCAGAAGATTGCTGGCATACCTGAGTTACGCGCACGCGTTA